CCAGCCCCCCCCCCCTTCCGGCAGCATTTGACGGCACAAGCGCCGAGACAAATCGCTCTGTCACTTCTTAGGACTTGCGTTGAAAAAAAAAACCGAAATGAAACACCAAAGTGCATTACTGCATTAACGCCTCTAAGAGGCGGAGAATTTCATTTCCTACCTAATCACATCCGCTTTGAATCAATGTTGAAAGAGGGACCAGGATTCAGAAAGGAAGAGTGCAAAAGATAGCAATCTTCATTCATTCCATGGTTCATTCATCGACCGCGGAACTAGAATCAAATCGTTTGACACCTTGCCAAACAGGAATATTTAAATAAATAATCAAAGATGTAAGCAAAGATTGACATATTCTGATGAGTTATTGAATACCCAACGTAACGGTATTAATTTATTACGAGTGTATGACCCGACCTGAGGGAAACTGGTTTTTAGATATTACGTGGCGTAGCGCTCTTGTGACTTGAGACTTCAATCCCTTGATCGCTGGGTCGCGGCCAGTCAGCTAGTCAGCAACATGCGACGCAACCATCAACGCAACACATAACCCGCTGTGCATGCCAAGTGTCCCCTCTCTCCCTCCCATTCCTTCTCTTATCAATTGTTATTGTTTTCATTCAATCAATTCGTGCGCATGATTTTGACTGTTCGTTCTGTTTCAAGCCTTTAATTTCGAGACATTTTTCTCACTGCGTTTATTTTCTTACTTTTACGAAAAAATTTCGCGTTTGCTGCCGTGCCTTCGGTAAATCGTGCGTGCGACGGAGCACCTGTGACTGTGAGGGCCTCGCATTCTTCGAACTTTCACTTTTTACCTTGAAGTTGGGTTAAAACAAACTGGGAAAGAACATAGGATCTTGTGGTAATTAATTCTAAGCATGATGATTCTCACTTTCTCCTTTTCTCTTTCTCACTTGCAATTTTACAATAATCCTCCTAGGCTTTGATTTATTTGTATTATTTTCCCTCTTATCACAATGTTCAGTAAATTAGTGAGGTGTAGTTCATCCTTCAAGAATGTTAAAACTGTTGAAGCTTTTGTAAGGAGCAGTGCCAGTGAAAAATGTCTTACTGTGTGTTGTGTGAATCTCAAAAGAGACTTCAGTGTCAGCCGCAGTACATCATCTGTCTCTGGAAATCCATCTCATAGTCAAAGGCCTGACTGGAATCGAGCTGTATCTGAAGCTGAGAAAATTGTTGGATATCCTACTTCGTTCTTGAGTCTTCGTTGGCTGCTCAGTGATGAAATCGCGAACGTAGCCCTTCATCTGAGGAAACTTGTTGGCTCCAATCATCCTCTGCTGAAAACAGCAAAGTAAGTTTACTCATCATCTAGTGTCTTTTTCTAATTATATCTCCTAGTTTTTGTCACTTTCTCCTTACGAATCAAATTGTGCAACCTTAAGTTGTACAATATGGGTGGGAATTTAATTTATTTTATCACTATTCACCTACATTTTCCGCTCTTCTAATTTCTGCTCCTTGCCTTCATAACATGGAAAGTTCCTCGGAACCTTCAATTTTGGTGAGGGAACACCGCTAGCATTCCTTTCTAATTTAGTTTATAAGGACAAATATATTCTACCCTTTCCTTGTATCTTATAGCTTGTTCAACAGACGTCTTTTGCTTTGACAGCAATCCTCATCTTCATCATCAATTTTTTCATCTTTGTTTTTATATAATGTGTAACGCACTTATTTTTTAAAGTCAAAACTGAAAGTTGAACTTAAAATTTCATTTCGCTTCAGAATAGATATCTTGTGATCTCTGGGTTCTACAGATTTTAAACGTTAGCAATCGCTGGCTGTCTTAAGCCTGCTTTCCTACAAAATGAATAATATGAAATGAAATAAAATGAATGCAAAGCTGCAAATTTGCAGCAATGCGGTGACGTTGAACCAGAAGAGTTTTTACTAAATTTTCCAAATGCATCAAGACTTGTGATATATTGCCACAGTTTCAAAAGTAGAAAAATTTACAGTACTACTTCAGTTAAAATATTTTAACTTCTACATCAAGCTGCATAACTCTGCGTTGCATTAAATGTAAGTTCTCATGCTATTTCAAAATCAGTGATTGGACGGTAAAACAATGAAAAATTACATTTTTGTTTGCGTTTTTGTAAATTTCTAGGCAGATGTTGCTATGATGAGAAATGACCTATCACACTTCATTACAAAAAATTTATGTCATTCTTATATACTGTAGAATATCCTTTAAAAATATCAGAATTTCATAAAATTTACTGGGTAAAATACCTACCCTCTCATCATAGGACTATATATAATTCTTATTTTATTTTATTTCTGTTTCTGCAGGAGTTTGCTGTATAATGGCCGTAATAACATGCAAGCATGGGGGCTCATTGTTCTTCTCATCTCTAAAGCCGCTGGACATTTGAATGTCGAAGAAATGGAGGAAGACAAAGCAGCAGGAGTATTACACAGGTGAGCATATTTTGTGATACTAGAAAGCAATCTTTAGTCCAAGCACAAATGCTCGACTGCTGGGAAGAATTTTCTTTATAATTATATTACTCAGTGTATACTACTCGGTCGCTGAATTGGCCCTTTGATAATCTGCTTGCTTCTCTTTTCATGATTTATTTCTTAATGGATTAGGTTCAAGTAGACAAGTTTTCCTAATTTGAAAACTCCAAACACAACCGAAGATGACCTGAGGCATGAGAGAAATGTGGTGCAAGGCCAAGCAAAGCTGTAAACCAGGCATACCCTGAATTTCTCAAGTTCAGTGCCATCGATGAATCTAAAATGTAACATTACATCAGAGCTTAATGAATTGCATATCAACTTGAAGGAAGCTACACTACAGAGTTGCCAAGTGAAGCAAATTGATAGCATCCCAATCGCCCCTTGTGCAATGGGAGGGATCGTTCTGATGTAATATTGGCAACTTTTGCATTTTAATATTGATTTGGTTACTCTCAACCAGTCTGTTGTGGACAAACTGTATTTCCATGTTACTTACCAAACAAGTTTTTTAACATCTTCTCAGTGCTCAGTTTTTAATTACCTTTCTGCCCTAGAAAGAAAAAGAAAAAAAAAAACAAGTGACGATCAAGTACCTACTTGTGATCTAATTGGAGGGATAAGAATCAACCTAGGCTTGAAAGATAATACTTTTATAGTCCAAGAAGATCATGTGGCCTCACAGACCTTAACAAATTAAAAATGAATATATTACGGCTGAAGTAGTGACAGTAATGTTTCTTCGCAATTTCAGAGAAAACCCCTAATCCCTAAATGTAGGGGCTCATAGACATCCCACTGCTCATTTGTCCTTTTTTTACTTCAAGAACATTAAAAATTTATTCTTGTCAGACCAGCTGAGTGTAGTTACCTGTTAAGAGAAAATAAAAGTGTGGTAGTTACATTCCTATCCCTGTAATGTAGTGAACTCAGAGAATGATCTGATATTGCTCAATCCATGGAAAGTGATGAACCGTCAATAATCACAGCTCATTCGATGGCAGGCCCCAGTGAGCTCGTGACCTGGTTTTACCAGCCACCGGTCGAGGAGGATTATGCAGGAAGATCAAGTGACCCGTCAGCCTTGCACCAATGTGTCGAATCAGTTCATTGAGCACTCTATGCATGACTAGTTCCTTACTCATGATCTGCTTTCTGTTGAATAATCTGCCATGGTTCACCGATCGTATCTCAGATCTTGATTCTGCGTGACTCTCAGGGGAGCCTTCAAAAGCCTCTCAAATTCTCTAAAGAGGAGACATTTCTAGAAATGAAAAAACTAAAATTTTGAAACTGGAAGATTTTGGAAATTTTTAAAGGAATTGACAGATTTCACTACATTCCCCGCAGGTTTATATTCTGTCTGCGAGTATTTTTACTTCTAATTTTTCAAAAACTGTGTGCGGTATTATCTATGCAACAAACCATTTTACTTAAATTATTGAATTCAATAATATATAATTGTACATACACAAATTTTTTAATTATTTATGAATGTATGTTTTGTTTCTTTGTTTTCTTCTTTTAAGATGGGTAGGTTATATTGCTGTGACATAGCATTNGGGGGGGGGGGGGGGGGGGGGGCTGGATATCATGTCAAGGGGGCAAAATCATGCTTTCTTTTCTTTCTTTCTTTTTGTTCAGAATTATTCCATTGTTAGTTAAGAAATATCAAAGTCGGTGAGGAGTTAAGGACAAACTATTTACAGAAAATAAACGTTCGAACATCCGAAAATTATTGAGAGTTTCCGTGTAGGTATCATTACAGAACAATAAGTGCTGCAAGATAAGCTGATAAATAATTTATTTACTTCACAGTAAAAAAGTAATCTATATAAGCAGAAGAATATTTTTCATCTAAATTACAAAATTAAAAAAAGTGACCTTAATTTTACACTGTACCTTGGTCAAATTTTACAAGTAGTAAAGAGGGGGTGTCAGGGAGCATGGTCGAGTGGAGGAAAGAGGATGAACAAAAATATCTGCCTCAGATATCAAAATGTCAGGCTGTGCCACTGACAATGTGAGCTAATGTCCTTTTTTTCTTTTTTAAATTTTGGATGATCCCGGATTGCTCTCTCATGTTTTAATAATTTTTTTTCTCAGCCAAAGGGCCTTGGCAGAAGTGACGGAAATGATCCGGACTAGTCATCTTGTCCACAAAGGGCTTGTCAATATTTATCCTGGCCTATACCCGGAACCCGGTGTGCTAAATGACATGACTTTTGGAAATAAGATTGCTCTTCTAAGTGGTGATTATCTTCTGGGAAATTCCTGTGCTGAACTTGCTTCACTTCGCAATCAAGATGTAAGTGAAAGGCTATTTCAACAGTGTAAGTCCGCAACCATGTATCTCGGTTTGCGATGCTGCAGACTTCCTGACATACTTTATTTTTTTAATGAAAAACCACTCTATGGCAATTCTTAAAAACTGCCGTGATTTTTCTTCTCAGTGCCAAGAAAATTCTGCTAAAACTTCAAGGAATGATGTCGATTTGTTCTCCTTTAAAAGAAGAAAATAGGAGCGGAGATTTTCTAACACTGCAAACGAGATACGTGGTTGCGGACTTATGCTGTCAATTTAGCATTAATAACGGTTACTCAACTAAAGTATAACTTATTCAACTATAACTTATAATTTGTTTCTATTTGTGCAAGATTTATAATCCTCGTTTACAAAACCTTTTCAATCTGAAGGATTTTGATAGAGACCCTACTTAGATGGTTATTTACAGGACCATCACTCAACAGACCGCAGGTTTTTTTCAATATTCGTTAACTTCTTATTTTCTATTTCAGGGGAGGCATTTTTTTCTCCATCATACTAAACGAAAGTTAACCTTCCTAGAATTTTCCTCAATTATTTTTTAACTTTTTAAAAAGAAATTTCAGTTCTTCTGTAATATAACTAAACCTCTCAAGCCTTCCTCAACTTAACTAAAAAAGGATGTTCAGCCCATAGAGTTGAAGTGTTGGCCATCAAGGATGCAAGCTCTCTCTGTGTGAGATCTCTGATGATATGACTCTTCCTATGGTTTTAGACGTCCACGACATAAACTATTGCTAATTCTTAAATCAATATTTAAAGAAACCCGCAGTGCCATTCTTTGTATGCTCAAGAATTTCAATGTTTGCTCTTTGGAGAGGTACCCAAGGTCTGCAGTGGCAAATATTTTATTCCAATGAACCAAGCATTACTTATTTCTTACAGTAGGTACTTTAGCTTCTTCTTTTTTTCTTTCTTCTTTTCCTCTTCCCAAGACTTATTTCATCTAGTTTATCATAGTTAATTTAGTGGTCTGCTCTGTATTAATTTGCATTTTTCTTTTCCAAAGCTGCTTCTTATTGAGTACCTAATGTAGGGAATATCATTAAACATGAATTCGCAGTTTTTCTTAGTAATGAATATGACAATTCTAGGTATTTCCAGCCCAGCAAATTTACCAGAAAAAACTCAAAGAAGCTGCTCTTTTAAAGCAAGCTAAGCTCTCTCAAAAATTGGCTGAAAATTCATTAAAAAATATTAATTTCTCTTAAACAAGACCCTCCTCCTCTGCCATTTGGTTCCCCCTGGTCAACTGTACCCGTGCACAGTTCTGTTTAGTTATTTTTAATGTCCATTTTTTCCTCCATATAATTGAAAGGGTGCTAAAATTTTTAAAAATGTTAAAGTTTTCAATAATTTTTTTCATCTTTAAACCCTATTTTAAAAAAAAAAATTACCCATTATTGTCAATTGTATTATTGTTTTTACAATGTTTTTTTTTTTTTCAATTCCTTCTGACTCACTAGTTAGTTGAACTGATGAGTAGCGCAGTCCGCGATCTTGCGGAAGGTGAATTTCTCGGCCGTCGTGACTTGCAGAACAATCCGTTGCCCTCAAGACCAGATCCAGCAGTGATGCAGGCTCCAAGCCCTCCACCTGTTCCTGGGCGGCTCCCCCGTACGCCTGCGCTACTTGAGTGGACTCACCGTAATGTTCTTTCTGCTGGAAGTTTATTGGGCAAATCGTGTCAAGGAACACTGAAATTAGCTGGTCATGGAACAGAGCTTCAAGAGCAAGGCTACAAATTTGGGAAACATCTCGCTCTTGCTTGGCAGGTAAGTTTTACGTCCTCTCTCAAAGATGACCTTTGTTTTTCTATCACTCATCTGACGACCAATTTTATTGGCTTATTTTTATATAAGTTAGCCTGCTTCTTTAGATCCAATGTTTTTCTCCTACATTATATCTCTAGTTTTTGATGTTGTTGTCTCATATTTGTATCACAAAGGATGGTAGAATCAAGCAGACGCCTAAATTTGAAGTTTTCATCTTTTTAGTAAAACATTTGTTGCATTGTAATTAACCTATTGACTGCCATTGTGTTTTTCACACACGCTTCCAGAAAACAAAAAAATGAGAAAAATTGGAAAATGGAAACAAAATATAATGGGGGTAAAAAATATGTATGTTTGCCCAGACATGCATTGTCAAAAGGCGCTTGCGACTGGTGGCGTCAGAGGATAATTGTGAATCTGCTGGTCTGCAGCAGTGATTGGGCTTAGGCATTAGCTGAAGTTTTTTGATTCTGTCACATTAACAGGCATAGAAATCAGAATATTGAAGTATTGTGTGACACTAAGTTTTTCATTTCTTGTTTATTTTGCAGGCATGCTTAGATCTTGAACCGTTTACCAGTGGTTCGCATTACACACTCGGAACAGCCTTCAATTTGACATCAGCTCCCGTCATGTTCCACCTAGAGCATGATCCATCTTTGTTCGATGAAATTGACAAAGGAATTGAATCGGTCCATGACGTAGATTACACAAAGGTACTTTTCTTCATTAATTAAATTGATCATAAACTTTTTATTAATAGTTGTCTCACACAAAGATTACCTTTATTCAGTATCAAAATACTTGAAGAGTAGGTTACAGCCATCAGAAGTTAAAACTTTTGTGGGACTTTGCTTAGCACAATCATTAAAATAAAAAGCATACTAATGAAAGCTTTTCTCTCACATATCTAAGGGTGGTCTTGGAATCCAAGACATTTTTTTTTTGTTGCAAAAATACAATTTCGACATGAAAGTAAAGATAACTATTATTTAAGTACACCCGATATTGCTTTTCCTCATCCCAAAAAACCAATTGAAATTTTGTCATCAAAGAGTTCCTCCTCATCACCATTCTTCTTGCTGTGTGGGTTTTATTAATTTTTTGTCATCGTAAATCATTGTTGCCCCTTGCAAAGATCTATTTTCAAACTTATTCTGTTGAATTTTACTCGAAATTTATGTCTTTTTCATGATGCTCTATCCCTCAAAACCTCCCTTAATCAGAATGGAAATCATGTAAATAAAGGAGCCATTTAAATAACAACTATGGAGACAGTCCGGTATTTTCTTTAAAAATCTTGCAACCAAAAGTGCAACCTGAGAAAAGTTTGGGTCATGAACCAGGAGCTCATGCAAACTCGAACAGGTTTTCATATCACTAAATATGCTGTGTCATTATTTTGATTTCTTTTTTCAACATATTATATGGGGGGGTGCAATACGATGATGTCTAGACCTGAGGTTTTTGTAGCACACGCTGACACCAGAGCAACCCCCTAAGCTGATGCCGGTCTCATTTAAACAATGGACCGCGCGAATTCAATGGGTCTCAATTCGTCACCCGTTTTCTCCTTCCCTCTGGCCTACCAGAGCTCCAAAAAAATTTGATGAAATTTTTCTCTCACATATCTTTTTTCCTGTTTTGCAAATTTGCCCTCTAATCATTTCTTTTTTTTTACTTATTAGGTGCACAGCATTGTCTCTAAAGGCAAGGGATTGGCACTTACAAAACAGCTTCAAAAGGAACACTCAAGGAAGGCAATGGAAGTTTTAGAGGTTTTCCAAGAGAGTGATGCACGCACTGCTCTTTCAAACATAATAGTTGCTATGGGTGAACTTTGACATCTCCTCTACTACCGTGACACAGACATTTGGAAGTAGGGTCTGATTACTCTATTTCTCTGCCTATTGTTTAATTTGTGTCCCAAATCAACTTCCTGAAAGCAAACATATTATTACTCAAAACTATAATTTTTTAAGCGAATGAAAATTCAAACATTTTTTTGATACCACAAAGGTTGTTTTGCAAGTAAGTTCCACAGGCTAATTTCTACAAAATTACTAAGAAAAGAGTAAATTTCAGTGATTCTTAATTACTAAGAAATTACTGAATTCAAGCGGTTAAGAATAGTGAAAGTTTTGGCCTATCTGGTGCAGGTGTGAATTTACATAACATGGTTTTGGAGTTGCCTCTTGAAAAATGTAAGTGACAATAATCAGCTTTTTTTAATGACTCAATTTTCACACAACAATTTAAACTTATGGATAGAAGATGATACGTACCGCTGCATTGCTGTATCTTTTTTTTTTGTCCACCAAATCTAATTAACTGCAAATCTTTGTCCCGAAAAATTGTTGAAAGGGAAAAATGAGTTATTTTGCTTTCTCTTTTTTCATATTAAAATAAATGTTGATGTAATATAAATGTTAATGTTTTTAAAATGTTCAAAAACATCTATTTTTTTACTTGATAAATAGCTCGATCAATTCTTGCATTCTTATGCCTAACACGTGCCTTAAGAAGCTTTTTGAATTCAGAAGCACTCAAAGAGAAATCCAAGCCACATGATTTTCATGAAATTCACTTTTTTTTATAACTGCATCTGAGTGAGATAGGTGGGTGTTGAAAACTGAAAGACAAATAGAGCATCTTATGGAAATGGAAAATTTGCTTTTTAGTCTCTAGTAATGAGCTGGGGGTTTTTTATCCCTGCATTCTTCTCTAAGGGCGATTTGCTAAATCGTTCACAAAAATTTGTATGATCGTCCGTCCTGATTATTTAAACCTATAATGCTATCGAAACTGTCAATGCAAAAAGTAATAGGTTTTAATATCATTGTGATTTTACACTTCTATTTTCCTCTATTCCAAAAGAGTATATAATCAAATGAAGTAAATAGCTTTCTCATTATCAAGCCTATCTTATAGGAGCGTACTTTAGTCTCAAGCTATTCATAAAGGTCTTTTTTTTGCCTAAAATTTTGTGTAAAAGTTGAGGTGTGGGTTTTAACTTGAGTCCAGTATTCTCTACAGTGGCTCCTGGAATATTTTTCTAGATTTGCAAGAGAGTTTGTGTGTTATGAAATAAGATCATCTCTAATTTGTATACTAGAAAGGGTCTTGAATCGAGAGAGTCACAAGCGCTGGAGGTTTGCTCCTCCTGTTTTTGCAAGTTTATTTAATGTTATCAGGTACATTCGTGGACAGCTCTTCATTTTTGACGGAGCAGAATCTTATCTTAAGAGGAAAGCTTTTTTTTATAGCTCACTTGTCGGAGCCTTTGGGGTTACCTACATCTGTGTTTTAACAAATGAGTTCTTTATTGTTGACTTGATTTTATGTTATTTTATTCTTAAATATTTATTTTTTTTGTGAAGTTGTTTGTTCCAAAACCAAACATGATAACCATGTTACAATTAGGAGAATAATATTTCTTAATTTCGAAAGCTTTAAAACCATTCTCTTTTGAAGAGCAAGTATTTTAAGGTCATTATTAAGTACCCAGCAAAAAACCAAAAAAAGAAACCTAATTCACCATACTTTGTAACTTGTTCTTTGGTATTTATGAACAATTTATTTTGTTATCTGTGGACATTGTTACTCTACCAGTCTGACTTTAGCCATAGAATAGTTTTTCCTTGTGTTTTGCATCGTATCACTCTTATTTAAGTTTTCTCACAATACAAGGAATTAGATTATTAAAATTTGATTGTCTAGGGATTCTCACATCTAAATTAGCAGTTTTGTTGTTGTATCCAAAATCCCAATTTTCGTTACTCCAAGCATTATTAGTGGCTGATGAATAATCAAGAGAGGTTCTCTTTTTTAATTTGAAGGAGTTTTTTCACGTTTGGTAGGAAATTTTTAATTGTAAAAATTATTCTCCACTGCCCTGTGCCACTGAATAATTTTGACTGTGATTCGTCAAATCCTCTTGGTTTTACTCTCTGAGGCAACCGAAAATCAAATTTTACTCCATTAAATATGCTTAGCACTGATTTTAGTCATTGTTTTTTATTGGAAACGATTCATTGTTAGCCTCTGGACGTTTTTCGTGCTTTTTGTTTTGGTTTGTTGATTTTTACTGAAATGTATCTGATTTTCTTGTGCAATATAATATTAATTGGTGCCATTCAACCAAATTGGCTTTCCACAAGTTTTCAGAATAACCATCTATCATCTCCTTTAATTTGTACAGTCTTGCACGAACTAAGGGACACTTTCTTCCTGGAACATGCTAGTATAGATACTATTTTTTTCCAACCACCCCCTAAAAATTTTGCCAACCCTTGCTGAGATATTTTGACAAGACTCCCATATCACATGTCATTTACATTTGTCTGTTCTACGAGCAGCTCAAATAAATTATTCTGTGACCAGTCACATGACTCAACTTTGTCATAATCTCTAATACTGTTTAGCTAATGAACTGCAACATGTTTTGGGTTCTTTTTATTATATTGTATTTTATTTCATTTTTTTTTTTTTTTTTGCCATAAACGTCCAGTTACCAATTGTGTGTTTTGTATCAATTTTCTTGTGAAGTCCTTTTCTCTTGAGAGAATCATATTTTGATAGAATCTGAAAATTGAGAATTTCATCAGCCCTTTCTCCGTAATTAAAATTAAATTTTTCCGTTTTGAGGTTGTTTTTTTTTTCTTTCTCTCTTTCTTTTTTTTCGTTTTTAGCAATACTATACAATTAATAGGTCCTCCCTAGCAAAAAAGTGAAAACAGTTTTCCTTCGTTAAAAATAGTATTGTTTCTGCAGAAAAAACAGCACAGCAGCTTTATCATGTGAATTAGGTTCTGTGGCAGAAAGTTTATAGAACCACAGTAAATTTCTTTTTGAAAAACACACCTAACAAATTAATCATGTATATTTTGTAATTTTTCTCCTTTGTATACAAAAAATGAATACCGTTATGAATACTCATACAAATTCAGTTATTATTTTAAGTGTTTTTTCATCTTGTTATATTTTATTACCAAATATTATCCATTCATTATAAGAATAAGTAGTGTTAATTTTTAATTTATTAATAATTACAATTGGATTTAGTCATTCGCATGCCTAACAGTTTTACCTCAAACGAGAGTGCATCGGAGACTAGTTTCAAATTCCTTTACAACATTATTTTTTTTTTCTAATGAAATTGTGTGCAGTTAATTTTGCATGATCCAATTTTAGCAAATGATCAATTTACCTTCTCAATCAACTTGAAACTTATCTGTTTGTTCATCTGTGTCATGATTCAAACAGTCATCCATTTATGATTCAAATGTTATAATTTCAGAATGATTTCTTTTGCATGTACTTTATTTTTAATAAAGACCTCAGAGCTTGTATTCACTTTATTTAAGTGATGTTCAATAAATCCTCATTTTTTAACGAATCAGTATATTTTACTTCCACATCGATCCTTTGACTCTTTTCATTCACAATGATTAGCCGTCTTCAAAGTACCCCATTTGTAGGATTTATGAGCCATGTTTCCAGAAACTCTACAGATTTCGATGGTGTAAGTCGGCAATCACATAACTCGGTTTGCAACGATGCATACTTCCTGTCATAATACAGCCTTTAAACGGAAAACTACTCAACGGCAATTCTTTAAAACTGCTGTGATTTTTCTCCTCGATCTGTGCAAAGAAAATTCTGCATAAACTTTAAAGAATGATGTCGATTTGTTCTCCTTTATAAAATAACATAGAGGCAGAGATTTTCAGACACCGCAAACGATATATGTGATTGTGGACTTACGCCGTCAATTTACTCTCTATTGTAGATATATTTAAATATGTGAAAAGATTACTTGAACATCCGTGACTGCTAGTATAATTACACTTTCCCATAAATCACCTATGAGAAGAAAAACCTTAGTACCAGTCACTGAGCCATAATACTAGTACTGCTACCCAGAGAAGTGTTTTACAAACATTTTGACACAAAAAAACCTCAAGTTTAATATACTTTAAAAAGTACTTACATTCAAGCTCATCAAAGCTCAGTTTAACTTAAAGTAAAATAGGTAACTCAGATTCAGCCGATTTTTTATAAAAAATGTGTTGACAGATTGTTTCCTGTAGATTTTTTGTTTTTTATCTATGTATAATATATCCTAAATTCATGGCCCAGAGTTACCACGTATAGGCATACTAGGCGCGCATTTAGAGACCTGTATCACAAAGTTTTTTTCCCCTTCCTTCTCAACATTAATTTTTTCCTTTTTTTTCGAGCATAATTATCCTGTTTCTCATTGGCTCACAGTTAAGTCTTTCTCATAGGCTTGATGTTTAGTCTGTAGGGGGCCCTCTTTCCTTCTCTTTTCACACAATGTGTACCAAAGAACTATACTTAAAGTGCGATTCAGAGGTGCTCAAATTTTAATAAAGGAGGCCTCTTCGATTCCTCTTTTTTCTGGGGAGGTGGGCTTCAGGAAGCGGCCTGTGATCGATACAAGTTGTACCTATACCTGTATTTGCTAGAAATTCCTAAAACCGGCTCTCTTGCCCATTCTTACTCTTAAAACTCTCAAGAGCTTGATTTTTGCAATTACAATTTTATTCTCCTCAGGAAATTGTTATTTCAAAGCATGATCTTTGCAGGTGCTTTTTGGAGTAAGTGGGGCATATGCATCTGAGAAAAAATCCGTGGGCATGTTTTTGCCAAAAGATCGGCTGAGATTGTAAAAAATATTTGGTTATGCTTTCCCATGTTTTTTTAATTTTCACAAGAAATGAAAATGTTGCTGTCGGGTGTCTGATAAAGCTGAAAAGAAAAACGTAGCTATTTCACTGTTTTTTCGGCATTTTACACCACAGAAATCCCCCCAAAAATGCAAAAAATGTACATTTCCGGTCTAATAAAACTGGCAACTGCCGGACCGGAAACGCCCTGTTTAACAGGATATCCGGTATCATTTGAAATTCCCGCCATTTTTACTTAAATTCGAAATATTTGGAATGAACCGTTCTAGACCAATCATAATGTCTGGTTCAGAATTTGCCGTTAAAATTCCTTTTATTCAAAAAAAGGAATATTTGGAATAAGTTCGTTTTCTGAACCAAAACAAAGAGTACATGTCCAAAGTGAGGTTATTCTAACTTTGACTTCTTAGTGTGGTGATGAAAAGTTTTTATTTTGAATATTGGTTTTGTTATTAAATTTTCTCTCTGCGGAAATTACTTATAAGTTAACGTTTGGATCTGTATGGAAGTGTATGGTGTCAAATCGAAGTTCTTTTTAAGCACGTGAAGTACGCACTGTTAAACATAGGATGACTTCTCCACTCATTCCTCAAAAAGTTCTTAAGTTTGAAAGTTTTATAAACGATGTCCTTAAGGAGGAACTGAAGGAAGTGCACGAACGAATAGACTATTTAAATCAAGAACTTGCCGACTTTAGTCAGCTGAAAAGTTTCATAGAATCCGTAGCAGAGAACAATCTGCACGAAGAACCACTGAAATCGAAAGTTGACGTTGGATGTAATATTTATCTTCAAGCTGTGGTCAGCAATCCCTCACAAATTTACATTGACGTTGGACTTGGCTTAAAAGTTCTATTTACACATTCGGAAGCACTACAATTTATCAGGAAAAGAACTAAAATCTTAAAGGATCAACATCAGATTTTACAGAATCGAAGTGCGCAAATCAGAGCTCATATTAAATTAGTCCTCCATGGTATTCAGGAACTTCAGAACATTAAATGATTGATCAAATTGATGACCAGAAGTAAAGAATCCTGAGAATCTGCCCATTTTGTCATTTATTTCCTGTAATCTACTCTGCGATTCTCCTGGTTTTCTCCTGCCTACAAGTGTGTCGCTTGAAAAATGATACCCACTTAATTCTTGTCCAGCCCTTAACTCCTCAACCATGCTTGCTGGATGATATATGACGTCAACCTCTCAAAATTTGTGAGTTTGTTTTCTTCACTTTATACCTCTTCTCGCTTTAAATGTTGATACCCATTGCTAAATTTTGTTGTTAATTACTTAAGGAAGTTCTAGTCGGGTGATTTTCCTAGAGAGTTTGCTATCAATTAAGTATGGAAAAAATTGTGCTATTTTAAAAACGCTTTCTGTTTATTACTAAGTAAGTAATTGTATGTTTTCAAAAAGTGCACAGGTCGGTTGCCGAGGTCTATTCATCTATCTAAATTAACACGGAATTCTGTGATCTTTGAGTTATTCAATGATATTAGTGTCCATAAGCTCAGAGGCACCAAAAACGCCTCAATTTAGATGCAAAGAAAAAACAAGAGCAGCAATTTGAATTGCAAGCTGAGTGGCATCCCCTACTTTTATGAGTCGTCTCTGATTGGCTGATCCGCCTGGTGCCCATTTCCTGGGGCCCTAATGGAAAATAGCGCAGGTTTCATTTTTCATCAAAAATACCTCAAAAATAAGGATACATTTTTGTATTGAAGATTTCAAGAATCCATTCGTCAGATCTTTCTAAAGAGATTCATGGGTAATACATGCCACTTTTTCCTCCAACACACCGAACAGTTCAACCTGGAATTTTCTTTTTCCATGACACCAAGTGTTCGTTTCATTTTCTTCCATCGTCTGATGCTAACAGTCGCCAGTCTGGGCATCCTTGACTTCAATGCAACTGTATGCTCTCAAGTCTACTGTCCGTTGGACTGAGAGATAAATTTCTGTGTTTGATTGTCTTTTTCAACAAGAGGTGACATGGCAAGAGCAGGAGTCTCAATGTTTTCTCAGTTTGAGGCCCGGGCTCCATTGCGGGGACGAAAACAGTGTCGATTTCCGCTCGTACCTCTCTCCTCAAATATACTGACCATTTATTCATGGTATCTTTTTTTCATGGTATCACAAATAATTTTTCTAGTGGTAAGGGGGGGGGGAGTGGAGTTGGTGGCAGTCATGGGGCCTGGACCTTAAAACTGGTACCAGGGCCCGAGATGGGATGTAATGGGCGCGGGCCTGAGTGAATCAGCCGATCAGAGATGACTGATAAAAGTAGGGGGTATCACTTGGCCCGAAATTCAAATTAATCCTCTTGTTTTCTCTTTGCACAGATATTGGTGGCTTGGTGCCTTGTGTAAAATAATTCATCAGAAACGAGTTGTTCTTTATTTGAATAAGTACTATTTAGTGAGAGGTCTAATAGATTTTAAACTTCACAACAGACATTTCAGTGTAGGGTTTGATCCAGATCTATGACCCTTAAAAATTTGTACTGCAAAGGCTTGCAATTTCATCACATATATTTTAAGGTTTTAGACCCTCTAAAGGCGTTTCATTACATATATTTTTAGGTTTTAGACCCTCTAAGGGCAAGGGGACTTGCAAGGGAGGGGGGGGGGGTTACCTGCTTTTACCATAAATATTCACTGTGTCAGGTCGTTTTATGTCGTTATGTCGTGAGGAAGTCTCGTCCGTCTAGTCCAAATCGCAAATACAGACTTGTGATCTGTAACCGTTTCCAAGGTATTGCCCAGTATTAATACCTAATTTTTGCGTACCTGTATTTGTACTTCATAAATTTTAAGTAAACTGAGTTCGCTATTCTACGTTCCTACTTGAGCTTCGATACCTGTGAAGGTACAACGTAACCAAACGATTTCTACGGCAGTGTGTCTGGATAGCCATGTGACAAACGGCATTTGTGGATCTTCAGAATCGGAAGATGAGATGAGATAGGCAAAAAGCAGTACGGGAGATGCACCTATTGAAGTCTATTCGTAATTTAGAAGGCGCCACGAGCGCCGTTTCAGCGCTGCACGGAATCCGTGCCACGGATGCGTATTAGCAGGATGATCATTCGAATACAGATAGCGCAATTGAAAATTCTGGCCATCTTAATCACAACTAAGTCCCTTCCAGTTTTTTTTTTCCTAGGTATTCATTCTTTTATTTTTATTTATCTATTTTTATTTTTTCGATAATTGCAGACACAACTGATGTTTCTTTGCCATTTAACTCGTACCTTACTCTTCCTAAATCCTGCGGCATTGCCCCCTGTTATGTTCTCAATTCTAGCTATACATGTCCTTCCGCGTTAGAATTTTTCAACAAACTTATTATAGCCTCAAGACCGTATTTGATGATTCAGAAAGCAAGCTTTTACCCATCATGGAAGCATTCATGTTGATAACGGAGGGTATGGATTCGATATAGACATGAATCGATCGAAAAACAAAAACGTGAATCAATCGAAACCGATTCGATTGACAGATAATTAAAAAAAACCCGTGTCGATTCGATCGACATGAACCAATCGAAAAATGAAAACGTGAATCGATCGACGTGAATCGATCGACACCGATTCGATTGACAGATAATTTAAAAAAACCCGTGTCGATTCGATCGACATGAACCAATCGAAAAATGAAAACGTGAATCGATCGACGTGAATCAATCGACACCGATTCAATCGACAAAATTCGATCGATGGGTTTATCGATCGATTCACAGGTTTGTCGATCGACTCACGGGTTTGTCGATCGATTCACGGTTGTCGATCGAATCGGTGTCGATCGATTCACGGTTGTTGATCGAATCGGTGTCGATCGAATCGGTGTCGATCGATTCGTGTCGATCGAATTGACACGGGTTGTTTTTAAATTAACTGTCAATCGATTCACGTTTTCATTTTTCGATCGATTCACGTCGATCGTATCCATACCCTCCGTTGCGAACAACATTACTTCCCCGTCCATGGACAATTTTTCTTTTTTCCTTTGCCAATCTGTAGTTTTGATGAATTCCAACATTTCATTAGTACAAGATTCCGTATTTTATTATATTTTTTAATTAAATATTTCAATTTTCTCTCAAAACGTCGGTTTTGTAAAAAAGAAAGGGAATATCGCGTCTCGCGTAGCACATTTCGATGCAGACAGGCTGTGTGAAAACTGCACACTGGAAAAAAAAAAAACATTGGATCTAGAGTCCAGACTCTTAAAAACATCGACAAGAAAAAATACTCTTGGTTCAATCAGATTTAAGCTTAAATCAAAAAGCAAGTCTCGTAATTTGAGCGGATTTCCTTTTGATTTAAGCTTAAATCTGATTGAATCAAGACTATTTTTTCTTGTCGATGTTTTTAAGAGTCTGGACTCTAGAGCCAATGTGTTTTTTTTTCCAGGCACCATTGCTCCATGATAGGTTGAAAGCCTCGAGATGACTTCTGTATTCTTACTCTCGCAGTTCCAGAAATATGAAATGTACCGGGAATTCCGTTTATAATTGTGTCCGCCGGGACGGCAGCGAACCAGAGTAGCACCGTAAAGGAAGCGCAATTACTCCAATAAATCTTAATCTATTTTTTCTCGGAAAAAGCCACGAGGAAATGACCGCGGAATCCGGCGTTAACACGGCCTCTCATAGAGTGTCTGTGAAAACGGTTCCGCGAAGATGATGATGATGATGTATCCGTCATCGACGTGACCGCGAACGTTACAACTGACAATGAGCTGCACACGTGGGCATGTACAACTTTGAGGAAGATTCCCATTCAAACATTCTAACTTCAAAATTTAAGGTGATTCGATGGACGCCATATTTTGTGTCAGAACGGCATGCGATACATCGCATCAATTGGTTCCATTTTTTTAGCTACTCGTCATTTTTCTCCAAATTTGAGATCGCAATTCTGTTGTCAGGAGACTAAAGCACTCACTTACCAATGTTAACAAATAAATTCAACGTATTAAAGGTGTGGTTTTTTCAGAGAGAAAACATCGCATTCGATACTGATATCGAAACTGCACTCGAATGCTATATTTTCTCTCTAAAAAACCACGCCTTTATTCGTTGAATTTCTCTGTTAAAATTGGTAAGTGAGTGCTTTAGTCTCCTGACAACAGAATTGCGATCTCAAAATTGGAGAAAAATGACGAGTAGCTGAAAAAATGGAACTAATTGATAAGATATATCGAATGCCGTTCTGACACAAAATATGGCGTCCATCGAATCACCTTAAGGATTTTATGCTAGATCTTAAGATTGACTTTCTTTTAATGTTTCACCATGGATTCGTTTTTTATGTGCTCAGTCCACTGGTGCTCCGATTCGATGATCTCAAACCAATCAGCGGGCCGATTATTGAAATTGTTAGACAGAGCTTTAGACAAGGAAGACAAGAGGGATATGGAGCGATCCTATTGGTGGAAGCGAGTAGTTGCAATAGACAAAGGAGGTAGGTAATATACTAACTAACGGCAACCTACGAGTGACCCTATAGTTAGTCCACTATTTTCTACCTTAGTCCATAGGACACACCCATTTTAACCAATAGGATAGCTCAAAACTCCCCATGTCTTCTTTGTTTATCGCTTCGTCTTTCAATCTCAAAATTCAGCCTGTAGGGAATGCACTGCGTTAGGTGCAATGCGAGAAGTATCCCTGCACTCTGGTAGGCACCGATATTCGTTTGCGCCGACCAGCGACCGCAAGCTGTGTTTGGCGCAATGCGTGAAGTATTCATGCAGTCTTGTAGGCACGCATATGCATTCCGTGCAGACAGGCGACCGCACTGTGTTTGACTTATGAGATTGTGTTTCTTTGCTGTTGAGTATACTCACCGCATTCGTTTTAATTTGTCACGACCGTCACATCGCATAGGATATTTTGCATGGGTTTGAAAAGAAGGGTAAAAACATTCCTGATAAAAAAAGGTAGCCGTATCATTTTTCCGAGCCTCAAGTCCATATTGTCCATTTGAAGACTAGCAACAGCTTATTATTCTGATGAACTCGGTCCACTTAATCTTAGATGTCCTCATCAGAGGCTAGAGCGGCAGTTTGGTGAGGACCGACCGGACTATGGCCGAAGACCCGGGGGGGGGGGGCAGGGGGGCAAAGCACGCACCGCTCCGGGGCCGGGGCCGAGGGTTCGAGGATCGGGGGAAAATGAAGTCATCTGCGTTGGGCCGTCTCGACCACGGGGAGGTTGAGTCTCGCCAGTGGCAGCGGCGGCAGTCGAACTTAGCGCGGCAAGCGGTGCACAAGTGCAGCGCGACTTCCTCCCTCGCGGCTCCCCCCGTCGCGGATTTCTACCCCCTTCCGCCCCGCTCTCCGCCCCTCCCCCGCAGCCCGCGGTCCAGTCCGTCGGGTTTTTTTGTCGTTTTGAGCGCCGCGCCGCGCGTCTTTATTATCCTGCTCCACCGGTGACGTCACGTGTGAGTCAACCCGCGTCCGCTCCTGTGGCTCCTGTCATCGGGCCCGAGTTTCAGCGGCTTTCGTACCTTGTCTTCGTCTTCGCGTCGACGGCGTGAGAAAACGCGTCGTAGCGTGTAAACCGAGACACAGCACTCGAGCCTTTTCCAGGTAACGCCGTCTTACATTCAATATCCCAGGTGAAATTGCAAAAACGCCTAACTCTCTCACAGACTTTCAGTCATTACTCAGGGTGTCCAGCATCAGGATTTTCCTGATTTTCTCAGGATTTGAGGTCATTCTGGATTTTATCCCGATTTCATCAGGATTTGAGGAAAGATCGGTCGTGAAATTAGGATTTACATTCAATATCCGAGGTGAAATTGCAAAAACACCTAACTCTCTTATAGACTTTCTGTCATTATTCAGGGTGTCAAGCATCAGGATTTTCCCGGTTTTCCTGATTCTCTCGGGATTTGAGGTCAATCAGAATTTTATCCCGATTTCATCAGGATTTGAGGAAAAATCGGTCGGAAAATCAGGATTCGAGAAAAGTCGACCGGATTTTTTTATCAAGCCATTTTTGTGCAGTTACATTCGCCAACTTTTCTCACAATTTTTCTCCGCAAAAAATCAGGGTTTGGAAAAATTATAAAATCAGAATTTATCAGTCAAAAATCAGGAAACTGAGGATTTCATCAGGATTTCCCAAAATGAAAAAAACTAGACACCCTGACTTTAGACTTTCTGTCATCAATTATTTTATAAACAGGAAATTAATCAACGTCATCCCTTGGAAACCTTCATAATTTTTCCTCTCTCTGTGAAAAATATTCTCTAAAAAATGTTAAACTTTTTTTATGAAATATCGTAGAAGTAGAGGTTTTTGTGCACCGCTCAAAACATGTTACGCGTTTTTTTTGCAATTCCACCCTCGATTTGTTACTTGTGCCGGCAATTTATGTAGGACAGCTCGTTACTTTTAGTCGCGAGAAAGAAATGAGGCACTTACGCCAAATTAATCGTTAATTTGATCTTGACTTTTAAGACTTTTTCTCCATGTTGCTCCCTCAAACTTTCGTTTCGCTGAAGTTTTGAAGACGATTGTGGGGTTAAAAAAATAATCACCGTCGGTAGGTGACATGCGGTTTTGTCTTAGATTAATTAAAAAAATTCTCAAATCATTGATTGGCTCTTCAAAGATGGAAAATTTGGTTATCTCTATTGGATTTAAGCCGATTATTCTTCATATCAACGTCTCTCTCCTCGGCGTGAGAAAAACGTGTACCTAATGCGGAACTGCGACCACCGACCGCTAGGGATCCGATAGTCTCCTAAGCTCGTTGTTTATACTTCCGCACTGTGCTTATAGCTTCTTTAACACCTCATCAAGAAGAGTTTGAAGCACCGATTCCGAGAAGGTTTAATTTACTAAAGTTGAACCGCCAAGTTTACTAACATTGCGTTCCCAATTTTGTTTAAAACTTGCGTCTTCCGTGCAAGACTCTGCCAATATTTTAATCTAATATTTTTATAGGTATTACTGCAGAGACAATATTACTTGCGATCAAGTTAGCGTCAACAAAACCCTAATCACGACGATATTTTAAGTTTTCAACGTGTACCGATCCATTTTTCTTTGTATGCGTGTCTGATCTGTTTCGTATGTTTGGTGTCAGGTATGATGAACAATTGAACATGTTGTGTTTGAGACGTCGGATTTGCGTTTTGTTAGTCGTGTTGTAGAAGAAAGAAAAGAATACAAATTTCAAGACATGCAGTCATACGTTAAACTTTGCCGGTTTAGCCATCGTTTAATCAATTTCTGATATTCAGAGTGTCCCAAAAGTCCCTTCCACCCCCTCTAAAATTTTACCTAATTAATATTTTGAAACGAAACTTTGAGGATGTTCATCGATCAATGTAAGCTACTTTTGGGGCCCCCCAAAATTTTCGGGGCCCCCCGTGGGGAGGGGCTGCGGACCCCAACTTTTTTTTTTCAAATGGCAACCCCTATCTTGTGATACCTCATTCGAAAGA